GTCCCCCGAGCACCACCAGGAGTCACTCCTGAGTGCAGAGCCAGGAGGAACCCTGAGCATCACTGGGTGTGACCCAAAAAGCAAAAAATCAAAGAGCTTTCCTTGGACGTGGCCAGCCCTATTGATCCCGGCACCCCTATGATTCCTTGAACCCCACCAGGAGTGATCCCTGAGCACAGAGGGAGGAGTCAGCCCTGAGCACCTCTGAGTGTGGCCCAATCCCCCCCAAATCCTTTGGAATGTGATGGAGTACATAAGCCCGTGAGGCATATTTTAGGGTTTAGAAGGTGGGACACGGTGGGCCCCTTCGTCCCCTCCAGGTCTGGAACCCGGAACCTCTGGCTGAAAGCCTGAACCCTCACTCGGGCAGCCCCCAGAGGTCAGTCTGCAGCTGACAGAGGGTTCCCCTGTCCCTGAGAGCGGAGATAGGTGGAGGGGCATCCTGGTCACTCCCAAACATACACACACTGACACACACGGCCACAGATGCACAGGGGTGTGGCCCCCCAGGCACAAGGAAACATAACCAGGCACACACACACACACACACACACACACACAAGCACGCATACACATACACAAACTCACATGCTGACACGTTCATAACACACTCAGACAACCACTCACACAACACACACACACATACCCAGCAGAGACAGATACACACACTCACACACTGACATATGCATTCATAATACAGTCATGCACACAACACTCGCACACACAGACACATTCACTGACACAATCATAATACACTCAGTTACGCACACACACGAACACAAGCACACACACATGCATGTACACACACGCACACACAGCAGAAACACATTCACTGACACAATCATAATACACTCAGTTACGCACACACACGAACACAAGCACACACACATGCATGTACACACACGCACACACAGCAGAAACACATTCACTGACACAATCATAATACACTCAATCATGCACACGCACACACACAACAGACACACACACTCACTGACACAACCATAATACACTCAATCATGCACACACACATGCACACACACAACAGAAACAGACACACACTCACTGACACAATCATAATACACTCAATACTCAATCACGCACACACAGGCACACACGCACACACGCACACCAGAGACACTGTGGGGTCCAGGCCGGCCCATGGGCCTTTACCAGGGCAGCAGCAAGTTGTCATGACCGAACTTTGGAAACAACTGAGGTCCTAGGGGAGTGATGGGCTCAGGCAACCCCTAAGCCAACAAGGACCTGAGCAGGACAACGTGCTCACCGACTACTCTCAGTGACCCGATGGTCTCCTGGCCCAGCAGACCCTGGAACCTTCGCCTGGGCAGGAACCGAGCAGCAGGTGGCCGGAGGAAGATGGTGAGCCCCCAGGTGCCGGGGGCTGCCCTTCCCGTGCCTCTTCCTCCTAACTCAGGTTCTGGCCACACGGCCTCTTGGCCTATGATCCCCACGCCCTCACGCCCCCCCACCCTATACCTTTCTTTAGCTGCCCTCTGACCTCCTGTCCCCTTCTAGGACCCTCCCAGACCCTTCCCAAGGACTTCCCAGGACCCTCCCAGGGTCCTCCCTGCGTCCTTCTAGGACCTTCCCCGACCCTCCCTAGAACCCTCCCAGTTCTCCGCCAAGCACCGGTCTTGGATGCGTCCAGCAGGCTGTCATACCACCCGTGGCCACAAGAGGCCGCCCCACACCAGCAGCCGCGGCAGCAACGACTCCGTCTGCGGGGGGGCGGCCAGAGCCCGGGGAGCAGGTGTGCAGGGGGCGGGGTTGCATAAAAGGCCTGAGGCGCCTCGAAAAGGTACCCCGGGGCAAAGTGGGCTAGGGGAGGGGGCCACAGCCAGCTGAGGTCTCCTCCCAGCTCACCACCCTGCTGACTTTGCTTTTTTTGTTTTTAGTTTATTTGGACATACTCACCGGTAGTACTCAGGGCTGACTCCTGGCTCTGTGCTCAGGGATCACTCCTGGTGAGGCTTGGGGAACTGGATGGGGTGCCAGGGATCGAACCTGGGTCAGCTGCGTGTGTGGCAAGCGCCCTCCCCGCTGTCCGATCGCTCTGGCCCCTGACACAGTGATTTTGAGGTGGACGCTGTTAGGTGAGGTTACTTACAGCGTCCTGGGGTTGGGGGTCAGAGGGGGGCTGGCCCGCAGGGCAATCTAGGGAGCAGGCCTGGCACACCTCAGGGTCCAGCACATCCTTGGCCAGGCCCCTCAGTTTGGCTCTGTCATACCACTTCCTATAGGAAGCACTCCGGGGCTCACAGCTCTAGGTCAGATAGTCAGAGCGCACTTGGCTCAGCCTTGGCTGCCCAGCTCTGACCACTCCTTGGGCCCTGCGGGATTTGTTGTTCAGTGAAAGATGCGCTCCTGTCGCTTCCTGTCAATCCGGGAACACCTGCGCCCTGGAGTGTGGCCACTAAGGGCTCATGGGGAGAGATGGAAGGAGGGCACAGAACTGAGGGGTCCCCAGGAGCCGTCCTAGTATTGCCTCATGTCCATCCTGGGCCTCTCCCTGAGCCCACTGGCCTCCGCGTGGGAACTGACTCCTCTTCATCCACAGCCTGGCTCCCTCTCCGGCACCACAGATCTGCAGCTTGACCCCTCCCTGCCTCAGGTCACCCCAGCAGCATCACTGGCAGACACGGTTCTGGCTTCACTTGCATCACTGCCAGAGTTCAACAGCCTCACTGGCTGACACGGTTCCGGCTTCACTCGCATCACTGCTTGAGCTCAGTTCGGTCCCAGGTCAGGTACAAATGTCCTTTCCCCTCCCCTGCTTCCCTTCCCACGCCCTCCCCTGCCCTGTCCCTGCAGGTGTGGCAAACGCGTCAGACAGCCTGGCTGAGACCGTCTGTGAGGCTGTGTGAGGCCCAGAGGGGGTGGGCAGGTGGGCTGTGGCTCTGAGCAGCCTGTCTGGACCGGTCTCCAACCCTCTCCAGCTGCCCCCCAGGGAAACAGGACGTCTTACTCTTCAGACCCCAGAAAACAAAACCCGTGACTTGGAACTGCTTTATTTGCTTTGAAGTCTAACATTATACACTGGTGACCACGGGACCGCAGTGGCCCACAGCTGCCGAGCAGTGTCTGGTCCCCGTCTCCCAAGGCCACCTGCAGACCCCAATTGCCCCCGGCCCCCTCCACCCCAGACCCAGCATCTCTAAGACCTGCCTTCGGTCCTGGCTGAGGGTGTGGCCATGGGCAGGATGGTGGTGGGGAGCCCCGGAAGCTGCCGGCGCCTGCTCAAGGGTGGACCCAGCCGAGGCTTCGCGGGGGGTCCCTGATACCGTGATGAGCCCAGACCCTGGGCAGACACGCGAGAGCTGAGCCCTCCACACCCGTCCACTCTCGAGGCCGCAGGCTTGGGTGGAGCAAATGTCTGAACCCGGCACCCCCACTTGGGAACCACTCGCTGCTTCTGGGTTTTCATCTTAGGGATCCGGGAAACGGTCTGCAAATGGCCTGAAAATCTGACAAAGGACATGAGACCCTGCAGGCCAGGGTCGGGTCCGAGCTACCGGAGGAGCCTTTCCCAAATGCGTCACCCTCCCTGCATCATCCTCCCTGCCCATGACCATCAGTCATCCGGCCGTCTGCCTGTCCACCCCACGTCCACCCGTCCACCATCTCCCCTTGTAGCCATCCACCCACCCGGCCACCCATCACCTCTGAGCTGTCCCATTTTCCGCGAGGGGACCCGTGGGCCAGGCCCCTCCCCCCTGGCGTCCTTCCAGCTCCACCTCTGACCACTGAGTGAGCGGACTTGGGGGGCCGAGGTAGGAGTGAGGCAGACCCATGCACAAAGTGACCCCGTATGGGGAGCCAGACACTGCAGGGCTGCTGACCCCTGGCGTGCGGGGACTCGGGCACGCCCTCCCCCTTGGGCTTGGGCTGCTGGGAGCCAACTCTGGCTCTGCCTGGGGGCTCCCCCGCCCCGCCCCGCGCCCTTCTTTCTAAGGATGTGAGGCAGCAGCTGGCGGTGGGCGGTGGTTGCCTTAAATACAGGCGACACAGGGAACAAAGGGAAAATAGAACAGGGGTGGCGCACGGCCAACCCCCAGCACCCCCTACGTCGTGGGGGTCGGGAGGCCCTGTCGGGGCTCTGACTCCATTCTCAAGGCACAGTGCTCGGCTGCTGGAGTGGAGGGCGCACACCATCTCTCCTGCCCCCCCACGGAAGTGGGGGGCAGGGGCAGGGGCCCACGTCTCCCCCTGGTGGAGGGAAGGCCCCAGGGGCTGGGGCCAGCAGCTGGACCCTCAGATGGTCGGACAAGGCCGTTCGGGGACCGACCAGGGGGGTGTTTGGTCTGAGCTGGGGGGGCTTAGATTTGCAGCCAAGCCCTGAGTGAAGGGGCGTCCCGTGCCCAGACGTGACCCCCTAGGTCTGTCTGGGGCTCCTTTCCGGCACTCACTTCCCCGAGGTCCACTTTCCTGGGGTCCCCCCCAGCCCCCGGCCCCATCCCAGCTCGCGGACCCCGATCCTGCCTCCTCCAACCTCAAGAGGCTGCAGGTCGAGCAATTTAGTCCTTTACTAAGTTCCTCCCCACTTGGGGAACCCCTTTTCTCCTCTACTTTCCAATAAACTTTTCTATTTAAAAAAAGAAAGAGGCTGCAGGTCGAGGCCAATTTTTGTCATTTTAATTGTAAAAACCAAGACGTTCGTATAAATAAGACCACTGTAAAATAGGGCCCCTCTACCAAAACCCTCTCCCCACACTCAAAAAGGTCTAGAAAAAGCCAGCGGAGATGAGAAATACAAAGTCGTGATGCGTCCCTGATGGGCAGTGCCCGCCCGTGCCCAGGGCGGGGAAGGCTGCCGGGTCCCCGGGCTGGAGACGAGAGGCCAGTCCAGTCCGGGGCAGGTCGGAGAAGGGGCTTCTGGGGGGTCACCGTGTCCCTGGAGGGTATGGCTGGGACCCGCCAGGACTGGACCCTTGTCAGCAGTGCAGGGGCCACTCAGACGGGGGTCCTGGGCTGTAGGGGGCAGGTGCCCCCCGAGTCAGATGGCCTGTGGGGAAAAGACCGGCTCCCCCCCTCCCCCTGCCCCCTCGCAGCCCCGGGGTCCCCTGGGAGTCAGCACTGCAGGGCCGAGCCCCAGGGGACGGTGACGGGGCAGGGCCACCGAGTCACACATGGGGCGCAGTGCGGGAAACGGGGACGCGGGTCCGCAGCCCCCGGACTCCGAAAATCCAGGCGCGGTGGGCGGTGTGGCGCCCCGCGGGGTCAGGAGCACTTCCAGACGCACACGGCCAGGGTCCCCCCGAAGTAGAGGTACAGGAGGCTCTTCACCTCGTGCGTGATCTCGAACCCGAAGCCCTCGCCGATCACCACGTGCCAGGACGAGCCGAACTTCTTGTCCATCGTCTCCTTGATCATCTTTGCGGCGCTCTGGAGTGGGGGGGAGGGGGGAACACGGTCAGGGCCGGGGGGACACATGGGGAGGTGGCCACGTGCACAAGCCTGGGCAGGGCTGAGCAGGCGGGGACCCCCCATGCTGGAGCCCGCCCTCAGGGGGCGCTGCGGGGACCCCCACGCTGGAGACTGACCCCAAGGGGCGCTACGGGGACCCCCATGCTGAAGCCGCCTCTAGTGGGCGTTGTGGTGTAATGTGCAAGACCCCCATGCTGGAGTCCGCCCCCAGGGGGCGCTGTGGGGTCTCCCCCAGGCTGGAGCCCACTCCTAGGGGGCTCTGTGGCATGCAGGGATCCCCCCCACGCTGAGCCGCCCCCAGGGGTGCTGGCTGCACCTCATTGTTGTTGGAGTACTTCTCGCAGGCCGTGACACACAGCTCCATCGTCTCCACGCGCATCTCCTCGGGCATGTCCGAGTGCTACGGACAGGGCAAGGGGCAGCGCTGACGCACGGATGCAGGCGGCTGCACCCCAGCAGCCTCTGGGACCCCCACCCTCTCCTGCCGCCAGGGAGGGGGGGGGACAGCCCCGGGCGCCCCTCTGCCCTGCTCGCAGGGTCCCTGGCTGCCCACACCTCCGCTCCCCCCACCAGCTGTGGGGCGTGGTGGTCCCTTTATTTTAATTTTTGGTGGGGGTGTTGGGGGACACATCTGTCACTGCTCGGGTGCTGGCTACCCCAGCAGTGCTCAGACCCGAGTCCCCTGGGCTCGGCTTAACCCCTGCGGTGCCCTCTAGGCTCAAATGGAGCCACATTCCTCAGTGATGCCTCAGCAGGTGCCAGCGTGGGCCTGTCTGGGCAGGCGTGGTCCCGGACCGGGCACCAGTGGCCTCAGGCTGTTCAGGTGTCTGGGCTCTGCAGACGAACACAGTGACCCCGCTCGGGCCCCTTCGTGGCCCTGTCTCCCGGGATCATGCTCGGGGCATTCTTCCTGCTCCCTACTGACCACAGCGGCCAGCGAGGGACCCCACATACGGCACGGGGCCTTGCGGAACAAGGGGAGGGAAGGAAAGGGGGAGGTGAGAAGGAGGGAGGGGGGCGGGAGGGGAGGCAGGCAGGCCTCCACAGCCCCGGGAGAAGCCCCCCTGTCAGCCCCGCCTGCCCCCCCCAGAGCCTGGCTCACCCTGACCAGGGGGAAGGTCTGCAGCCGCTTGTAATCCGCATCGTCCTTCTTCCCCTCCGTTTCTCCCATGGTCCTTCCTCCTGGGGCCTTGGGAGGCGCCGGCCCTGGCAATCACGCCACCCCCGGGGCGGCCCGGCCAGCCTGGGGCACAGAGTGTCCAGCAGGGGAGCTGGGGGACAGGAGAGACCAGGAGAGCTGGGGTGAGCGGGCGAAGCAGCGGCGTCCAGGGCACCCCGACTCCACAGCCTGGAGGGAGTGAGCGCAGCGGGCCGAGGGGGCGGGGTGAGGTGCCCAGGGCAGCGGGGAGCCCCGGAGACAGGGTGCCAGGGTCGCTGTGTCCACCTGGGGACAGTCCACCTCGCAGGGCAGGCGTGAGTCACAGTTAGCGAGAGCCCAGTGACCAGGAACCCCCCCAAACCCCGCGTCCCCCATTGCCCACATGTGGGGGGTGGCCGTCCTCAGCGGGGGTCGGGCACCCCGTGTTTCTCCACATGTGTGAGCGGAACGGCCGGGTTGGGGACGCCAGCAAGCGTCACTCTGAACCGGATGTGAGGTAGCCTTGTGGAGGAGGGGGGGCCACCCGCCTGGGGGGCTGAGCGCAGCAACAGTGGCGTGGCCTGGGGTCACCCCGACCTCCACATGGGTAAAGCAGAGGCCCCGGGAAGGGGTCTCACCCTCCCCCAGCCCGTCAAGGCCCTGCCATGGCCCCCTCTAGAGCCCACACCAGCCTGGCATTGGTGGTCCCCCACTCCCTTCATGCCGACCCCGGGCCTGTGGGGGATTCCACTTGGGAGTGCCAGGGTCGGGGGTGGTGGTGGAATCCTGATGGGGCCATGCGGCCGCAGAGGGGTCACACACATCCATTCAGAAGGGGGGGCCCTCCTCCTCCTCCAACCACCATGGTCCCTGGCACAGGCAGTGTGGCAAGCTGCAATGACCAGACTGGCCAGAAGGAACCAGCAGGCAGGGGGGCAGGGCACAGGCAGAATATGGGACAGGCAGCAGAGGGGGCACCGGAAGCCGTCCTGGTCACCACCCTGAGCCCATCCCCTGGGCACAGTGCAGGCAGGAGTGGGCACAGACAGACGGTCACCAGGGGCCGGAGCCACAGCACAGCAAGGAGGGCGTTTGCCTTGCACGCGGCCGACCCGAGTTCGATCCCCGGCATCCCATAGGGTCCCCGAGCACCGCCAGGAGCGATTCCTGAGTGCAGAGCCAGGAGGAACCACTGTGCATTGCTGGGTGTGACCCAAAAAGGTTAAAAAAAAAAAGGAAACCGGATCGCCACAAGCGACCCAGCCACTGGCTTTCAGGGTGAATTCCCAAAAGACCAGAACAGGCCCTGGACCGATACCAGGACATTCACAGCAAAGAAAACGGGACGTGCCCACCCGCCCCGATGGGATGCAAGGTGGACACACTGCACATGCACGCCGGTGGCCCTGGGTTCCCAGAACACATCACCTTCCCGGAGAGCAGAAAACATGTTACACGTCAGGGCAGAGCGATAGCACAGCGGGGAGGGCGTTTGCCTTGCACGCGGCCAACCCAGTTCGATTCCCAGCATCCCATAGGGTCCCCTGAGCACCGCCAGGGGTAATTCCTGAGTGCAGAGCCAGGAGGAACCCCTGAGCATCGCCAGGTGTGACCCAAAAAGAAAAAAAAACCCACACACACCGACAACCACCTTCTTCCTTTCACTGTGCTGAGGACCGGGCAGGTTTCGCTTGTCAAACTGTGGGTCACCACCCCTCAGGGGTGGGGGGCGTAATGTCGGGGTTGGGGGAATGGGAGTCCCGTCGAAGGTGTCTGATGCACGCCCATTCCACGCCCATTCAAAAGCCACTCACAGGGCTGGAGCAATAGCACAGCAGGGAGGGCCTTTGCCTTGCACGCGACCAACCTGGGTTCAATTCCCAGCATCCTATAGGGTCCCCCGAGCACCACCAGGAGTAATTCCTGCATGCATGAGCCAGGAGTAACCCCTGTGCATCGGCCGGGTGTGACCCAAAAAAAGCAAAAACAAACAAAAAGAGCAACTCACCCCGTGGGCCCACACCAGTCTATGGAAAACCACTGAAGACTGCGGGCGGGAAAAAGGGGGTACGGAGGGAGGGGGCAGGGGCCGCAGGACAGTCTTTCTGGGTGAAATCCCAGACTCTCAGCTGCCCCGCTCAGTGCTCTGTCCATGGGTCACACAGTCACCCCTGCCACCCCCAATGAGCAGACAGGGGTCAAAGAAGTCTGTGGAGTCTACAGAGATTTCTTTCCCAAAAATTCATTCCCAACCAGGAACCGCCAGGGACACTCTCTCGCAGCCAAGCCTACAGGACCAGGAACCACCACGTGAAGCCCCGGGAAGGCCAGCGAGGCCGGGCCTCACGCCGGCTGTGACGATACGTCTCTCCACACTCTCACGCGAGGGGTGGCCCGAAAGGCACCTCGAGCCTGACTTCTTCGGGGGGGGGGGGGTGGTACGTGGGTCACGGAAAGGAAGTGACTCTCCACCTGGCGGGGCGGGTCCAGCCTCAGGTGCATGACTTCAAGGCCACCACCTGGCTATAAGCAAGACACAGCCCGGCCTTCAGGGACACTGCCTGTTACAATCCAACATGGAGAACAGACAGACAGATGAACACACACACCCCTCAAAGCAGAGAGCAGCAAAATCATGATAAAGAAATTCTGGAGGGTCGGGGACAAGAGTAGCGTCTGAGCTGGGGCGTTTATTTTTTATCTTTTGGCTTTTCGGGTCACACCTGGCGATGCTCAGGGGTTCCTCCTGGCTCTGCACTCAGGAATCACCCCTGCTGGTGCTCGGGGGACCCTATGGGATGCCGGGGACCAAACCTGGGTCGGCCGTGTGCAAGGCAAACACCCTGCCTGCTGTACCATCGCTCTGGCCCTGAGCCGGGGCGTTTAAGGTGGGCACGTGTGGCAGGTACACAGGGCCAATAAACCTTTCAGAGCAGCCCAGGCAGAAAAGCTCCAAGAGTCTTGGGTTCTGTTCATTTGTTATGGGGCCACTCTGGCGGTGCTCATGGGCTACTCCTGGCTCTGTGCTCAGGAGTTCCTTCTAGCAGGTTCAGGGGACCATATGGGATGCGGAAATCGAACCTGGGTCGACCATGTGTCCGGCAAATGCCCTACAGGCTCTACTACCGCTCTGGGGTGTGTCTTCTGGGGTGCTATGCTGGGCGCAGGTTTTGCACACCAGGACCCAAGTTTGACCCCCCCCCCCCCAATCCAGCACAGAATTCTAAGAGCTCTACTTGGCTGCAGGACCATCCTGGACAGATCTGGGCTTGAGGGTCAGATGGAGAAAAGAGAGGATGAATAAAACTTTGGGCAGAGATGGAGGGAGAGGTACAAACACGTCAGACCCATCTGCTTGCATCTGTGGGAACCTCAGAATTCCCCAGGGGAGACAGTCCAGCCGGCAGGACACTTGCCTTGCACTGGTGGACCCAGGCACAAGGCCAGGAACCCCTGGGGTCCCCTGAACCCCACCGGCATTGATCTCTGAGCACCGTCAGGTGTGGCCCCAAGTCCCCCAAGTCTCCCCCAAAGAGGGTTCCCCAAGGGGCGGCGGAAGGAGCTGTCTCCCCTGCACAGGGACCGGACGGAGTCCAGGGGAGTTAAGCACGGAGTTGGGGGGAGGGGGCTCTCGCATCGGGGGTCTGCCAAGTTCTTCCACCGCCCTCCCGGTGAAGCCCATACACTTGGGGGCGAAGAGAATGTCGGGGTCCGAGAGGCCTGCGGGGGGCGGGGGTCGTGCAAGCCAGCTCCCACCTGGACGGAGGCCCAAAGAGGGGATCGGCCAACCGGGGGTCCCGGCCAGCTGCCGATCGCCCGGGCCCAGGCGACAGCGACCCCCCTGGCCCGGCCGCGAGGTGCAGGGCCGGGGGTCCGGGTCGGGGGTCGGGGCAGCGCGAAGCGGGTCGCGGCCCGACGGGTCTGCACGGCCAGCGCGTCCCGGCCCGACCCGGGAGGACCCCGCAGGCGGGGACCGAGGTGGGGCCTCGCCCGGGCCCGGGCCGCGCCCGCCCCGCCGCGCCGCCCGCCCGCGCTCGGCGCCGCGCCCGCCCCGCCGCTCCGCCCGCCGCGTCCGGGGGTCTCACCTGCTCCCGCCGGGGCCCGGACGACGCCGCCGCTAGCGCACCCCCGCCAGGGTTGTCAAGGAGCGCAGCGAGAGTGTCTTAGCAACCAGCGCGGAAGTCCTGCCCCCCGCGGCCGGACGTGGACGGAGGCCGCACTTGTTATTGGTGGAGGGAGACGCCAATCGCGTCGAAGGGCCCTATGACGTCAAAGGCGGACGGGCCGGGGGCGTGGCCTGGCGCGCGGGGGGCGTGGCTTCGCATGGAGCCGTCTTCCGTGGGCCTGAGCGGCGGCGGTGGGTGGGAGAGCGGGGAGCCCCTGAAGTTCTCGTTTTTTTTAGAGAAACAAACTTTGGAAAGCGACACTGCCTTGGGGAGTTCCGTTCGTCGTTTGAAATCACAAATGCGACTCTTTGGTACCAAGATGCTCTTCTCTTAACACCTGGGAAGGCTGTGGATGATTTGTCTAGTTCCTATGAGGCGCATCTAAACCCCATTTTCAGGCAATCCTTTGATTTGGGGAGGGGCTTTTCTTTTGGGGGCACCGCTGGAGGTGCTCAGGGGCTGCATCCAGTTCAGGGGTCTGGGAAAAGCCGGTGTGTTGCTGAGGATCAGGCCTGGGCCACCCACATGCAAAGCCGGAGCACAGACCCCTCAGCTATTTCCTGGCCCCTCTCAAAAAAATCCTTTTCAGCAACAGCGTGTTGTAACCCCACGAGGATCGAGGTGCTGAGAGGTTATAACCTGCTGCAGTGGAAGGGAGCTGAGCTGTTTCCCCTGCACCTGCCTCAAAAAACGGCCAGATCCTGTTTTCAAAGTGATGTCTTCGATATTTAAAGTAAAGACTTCCCATCCCTGGGCCTGGTGTGATAGCACAGCGGGGAGGGCGTTTGCCTTGCACGCGGCCGATCCAGGTTTGATTCCCAGCATCCCATATGGTCCCCCGAGCACCCCCAGGAGTAATTCCTGAGTGCAGAGCCAGGAGTAAACCCTGTGCATCGCTGGGTGTGACCCAAAAAGACCTCCCATCCCCAGCCTGCCTTTTCTTCTTTGGAGGAAAAGTATACTGAGGGGTTGGAGCAATAGCACAGAGGGGAGGGTATTTGCCTTGCACGTGGCTGACCCGGGTTCGATTCCCAACATCCCATAGGGTTCCCTGAGCACCACCAGGCGTAATTCCTGAGTGCATGAACCAGGAGTAATCCCTGTGCATCGTGGGGTGAGACCCAAAAAGAAAAAAAAAAGAATTCTGAAAGCATGAATAGAACTAGGCAAAGCAGAAAGGAAACTGCAGGTTCGGGTATTTAATTGGTGGCTCTGAGTGAAGATGGCATTCCAGAAGGAAACTTCCAGAACCCCCTGGGAAGTGGGCCCTTGGCCTGGTGCTGTGGATTGGGAGAGGAAGGACAGGAAGGTGTCCAGAGAAGGCACGGGGGGGGGGGCACAGTTGTGCAGGCACAATCACTCATTGTCCAGTGCTGGGACTGTAGGTGGCTTCTCTCCAGGGAGGTGGGGGCGGGTGCCCTATCTATGCTGTTGACCTGTCGGCCAAGGGGGCTGGGGAACCCAGTCCTCAGGGGAGCGCCAGGTGGTGACAGGCAGAACTGGCTGGAGTCTGAGATGACAGTTCAGGGCTAAGGCGCTGTCCCTGCATGCTGACCACAGGGATCCCCGACATCACGCATGCTTCCCGAGCCCACCAAGAGTGACTCCCAAGCACAGAGCCAAAAGGAAGCTCTGAGTACAGTGCAGCCCCGAACTTGTCTCCCAGAGGGGTCTGGAGACTCCCTGGGGTGCAGGAAGGTGGAGAGGAACTGTGTGGAGAGGAGAGGGTGTTTGGGAGGCCACATCCGGCAATGCTCACTGTGCTCCCGTTGTTCATCAATTTTCTTGATGAACGTCTTGATGAATGGACCCAGTAACGTCTCCATTGTGAGACTTGTTGTTACTGTGTTTGGCATATCGAATACGTCACGGGTAGCTTGCCAGGCTCTGCCGTGCGGGCGAGATACTCTCGGTAGCTTGCCGGGCTCCCCGAGAGGGGCGGAGGAATCGAACTCGGGTCGGCCACGTTGGCTGTGTGCAAGGCAAACGCCCTACCCGCTGTGCTATCGCTCCAGCCAGTGATGCTCAGGGCTTAGGAATTACTTCTGGTGGTGCTCCGGGGACCCTATGGGAGACCAGGAATCGAACCCGGGTCGGCCACATGCAAGTACAGCTTTTCCTGATGTACTATAGCTCCTGTCTTGTTTGGAGAGTTTTTTCTTTTTCTTTTTGGGTCACACCCGGCGATGCACAGGGGTTACTCCTGACACTGCACTCAGGAATCACTCCTGGCGGTGCTCAGGGGACCATATGGGATGCTGGAATTCGAACCCCGGTCGGTGGCGTGCAAGGCAAACGCCCTCCCCACTGTGCTATCGCTCCAGACCCCGTTTGGGGGAGTTTTAATACTTTAAGTTTTAACTGGGTTATGGGGACCCCTGGGGAGCGGGGGGAGCCCAGTGCCCAGAGGGGCCTAGGCTCGAATGGGGCGACAGAGGTAGCCTTGAGTGCTCGGACAATCTGAGGGTTGCCAGGGCCTTGCGAGCCCCACTTGGGCCCCTGGGATCTGAAGGCCCATCACGTTTCTTCATCGTCTCCCCGGACTTCCTGTGGGAGCTGCAAGGTGGCCTCTGAGGGGGCCTGAAGCTCTCACCTCCGCCTCTCATGCACACGTCCCCTAAATGGGGTCCACGTCGGCTGCCTCCGTTCTCGGCTCCCCTTCTCTCCTCACCCACGGCAATCTGGCTTTCCGCCCACGGCACCACCGAAATTCCCTCTCCTGGAGTTGCCAGCCCCCTGGCGAGCCGGATCTGGTGGGCCCTCCTCTCTCTCACCAGATCCCCCGCAGGCAGCCCCCCTACCCCCGCCGCCACCCTGCCCAGGTTCTCAGGGCTGCAGAACCCCCAGGCCCCAGCTCTGGGAGGCGAGGGCGGGTCAGAACTTGGCAGGGGACAGGGTGGCCCTCCTGGGGCATCAGTGCCCTGACCCGCGCCCGGATCCCCTGACAACTCTGTCCTCTCTCGCCCCATCGTGGCCCTTCTCCCTGGACTGTCCAGGCCCTTCTAGCCCTGGACCATCTTCAATGGTCTTGAGTTTCTTTCTTTTTTTTTTTTTTGGCTTTTTTTGGGTCACACCCGGCGATACTCAGAGGTTCCTCCTGGCTCTGCACTCAGGAATCACTCCTGACAGTGCTCAGGGGACCCCTATGGGATGCCGGGGATCAAACCTGGGTCAGCCGCGTGCAAGGCAAATGCCCTCTGGGCTGTGCTATAACTCTGACCCTGTTCTCAGGTTCCTGCTGACCTTTGGCTACTTCCTCACCAGGAAGAGTCTTCCTGGGCCCCATTTCCTGGACACTTACGGAAATGAGGGGTTGGGTCTATATTTCAGAAAAGCCCCCTAAACCCACACCTCTGCCCCTGTGAGTCTAGACTCTCCCAGGGCCTCAGGTCACCCACTCATACTGGCTGGGCCTTGTCGCCTTCAGCACAGTTCCTGGGGCATGTCACGCACTGTCCGGTTCCATTGTCCTGCCGGCTCCTGTATCTCAGTCTCCACATGTGGCCTCAGGCTGAGCTCCTTCCCTAACCACTGAGCTACACTCCCTCTCCTGGCCCCTCTGCTGGAATGTCCGCATGTCCTTCCCTGTCAGTATGTCTGCTGTGAATTGGTCATCAGTCTCTAATCTGCAGTGCCACGTTTCCTGTCGCAGCAAAACACACGGCCACCCACTGGTCACCCCCGTCAGAGCCCCGTAGTCTCGGGCCTCATACCTCTTGTGCCCCCACCACCTCCAGCCCCTACAGCCTGTGACGTCCTGGTCACGGTCACATGTCCTGGTGACCCGGCCACCATCTGCCCAGCCGTCTGCTGGTCTGTCTGCATGCGGCTCCCCGCAGGGCTCCCGGTGGCCATCTTGCCCATCTCACGGTCATTGCCCACACCCCGCTTCCCCCGAGGCGCCTCTCTCAGCCGCCCCCTCCTCCCTCCACAGCCCTGGGGGCCTCCCTGGCCTGGCCGCCCTTCCCTGGCGCCTGGACCCTCCCTCACCCACTCACCCTCACCCAGACGCCCCCCACCTCCTGCCTTGCCCGCTGTCCTCTAGCCCACATTCTCGGCCCTTCCCTCTTGGGGCTGCGTGAAGCTGGCACGTGGGGCCCAGCCGGTGCCCATGGGGGTTCCGGCCAGGGCCGCCAGGCGGCGTGGAGGAACTGTTTCATGGATGTGTGTGTGCATGTGTGTGTGTGCATGTGTATGCACGTGTGTGTGCGAGTATATGTGTGCATGTATGTGCATGTGTGTATGCACACGTGCATGTGTGTACGCACAGTGATGCATGCGTGTGTGCATGTGTGTTTGTGTGCATGTGCTTGTGTGCGTGCATGTGCATGTGTATGCATGTGTGTGCATGCACGTGCATGTGCGTGCATGTGTGGTGTGTGCATGTGTGTGCATGTGTTTGTGTGCATGCATGTGCATGTGGATGCATGTGTATGGACATGTGTTCATGTGTGTGCATATGTGTGCATGCATGCATGGGTGCATGAGTGTGTGCATGTGTGTTTGTGTGTATGTGTTTGTGTGCGTGCATGTGCATGTGTGTATGTGTGTGTGCATGTGTGTATGCACATGTGCATGTGTGTATGCACAGTGATGCATGCGTGTGTGCATGTGTGTTTGTGTGCATGTGCTTGTGTGCATGCATGTGTGTGCATGTGTGGTGTGTGTATGTGTGTGCATGTGGCTCCTGGCCACACGGCAGGCTCCTGGCCCCTTCTTCACCCCCTCACTCCTGTCAGCTGACGTCTGCGTGCTCTCTGCTGTGGAAATGGTGGTCAGTGGACCCTCGGGAGTGGTTAGCAAGTGGACACCCTGCAGGGGTTGGTTTATCCCCTGAGTACATTTGGCGCAGGTCCAGACTCAGAAGTCTGAAATGGGTCTCGCTGAGCCAAACCTGACATTCTCGGGGCTCTGGGGCGACTGCTGCCCCCGCCTTTCCAGCTCCTGGAGGCTTCCGGTGTTTGCTGGCTCAGGCTCCCTTTGACCTTCAGAGCCAGCCCAGGGTGCTGCAGCGGGCCCCGGAC